GTGTGTGTGTGTGTGTGTGTGTGTATGTGTGTGTGTGTGTGTGTGTTTGCAGAAAGTTTATCGTCAACATCCAGACAAGGTGAAGTTCACACAGGTGACAGACTCACCTGTTCTAATGCAAGCTGCCATCAACGCCAAACAGCTGAGCGATGTACGTAAAAAGCTTGAATTATTATGACTAAATAAAACCAAAGAAACAGTAAAAAGTTTACCAGGTGGTTCGTTGACCTTGTCAAATGTTGCCCTAGAAAAATCCCCTCATTCATTATTAGAGCACAGTTGTCATCTCAGTGCTGCTGACAAAAGAGTGAATCCCTAAATATATTATTAGAGCTGTTGTTTGTGCTATTTCGAGTTTGAGTGGTAAGCCACAGGCAGTCAAAGCCTAATAAACAACTAACCAATCCTTTTGAGACCGAGGAGCCATGTAGTGGTGTTCATCGAGTTCATCCTGTTTCACTGAACACCACAATCATGGGAAATATGGGGAAATTTACTAGGGCAATATGATACATACATATATATATATATATATATAATTGTGTATGAACATGATATGTAAGATTACATTTTTATTAGCCATTGTAATTATACATTTGGTGTAGAATACATTATCATTGACACTTTTTTCTCCTTTTTACAGCTCAACTACAAGGAAAAGTATGAGAAGGAGAAGTTTAAGTGTTACCTCCCTCCTGATTACCCTTTCTTCATTCAGTCTAGAGTTAATGCGTATAACCTTAGTGATGTAAGTTCATTCGATCTTCACTCATAGCAGTGCATTGAACTGAAACCTGATCATAATGCACTATTTTCTCTATTTCATGTTCACAGACGTGTTACAAGTTTGAATGGGAAAAAACAAAAGCAAAGAAATTTGAGGTGAAAGGAGATGCAATTTCGATCCTTGCAGCCCGTGCTCACACTAACATTGCCAGCGATGTAAGTAAACGGGATATTTGGGTTGTTTACCTGACAGTGTAACAAAACAATGAAAAATATTTCAGGAAATTGTGACACCAATATGGTCTTTAATTTTAGGTGAAATACAAGAAGGAATATGAGAAGAACAGAGGACACATGATTGGGGCCCTCAGCATCAAAGATGACCCCAAGATCATGCATTCAGTACATGTTGCCAAGATCCAAAGTGAGGTACGGTTAGCTAGTGCATTACTGATAACTTCGATACACAATCCTGAAGTTTTTTTCTGTACTGATATTCCTGTAAATATTCCTGAACAGCGGGAGTACAAGAAAGACTATGAGAAGATGAAGACCAAGTACCATTCTCCACTGGATATGATGCTTGTGACACTTGTTAAGAAATCTCAGGCCATTGCCAGCATGACTGGCTATAAGAATATCCCAAACCGTTACCTCCTCCCGTATGACAGCATACCACTGGTCCTGGCAAAGAATGCCAATGCTCTTCAGAGTAATGTAAGGATCCCTGCTGCTCTAGACACACTAGAATGAGCACAGATTGACAGGTTCTGTGTTGACAAGTGCAGTTGTCATTCCTATACTGAAGTATTTCCTATTAAAACATGAAGTTGGGTGAGAAAGGCTTATTGAAAAGATTGTCTTTTTTTTTTTAAATAGCCAATAACCTAACATCACAGCTGTGAACCATGCAAACCATGCTATTTTAGTCAGAAGTCTTACATTGCATTTAGATTTATGCATTTAGCCGTCTTTCCCCTTGGCTGACTGCCTGATGTTCTTTTATAATGTAATACATAAATAAATTATATCAGAAGTGGGTGGTATCAGAGTGAGGAGATATTGTTATTCTAGAATATTTAAGAACTTGAGTATACAACATTTTAGAGTGCAGGATGAGTCAATATTTCAAATCAATATTTTTGCCCCATTTTGGTCCTGAAAGAAAAAGACAATTTTGCATGCATATATCTGCTAAAAGATTATTTTTAGTAGTATCCAGGATATAGATGGCCTCCCTGTTCTAAAAGACATGGACTAAAAGCCACAAATACCAATTTAATATGATGAGGTCTTTATGTACAAGACTAGTAAAGCCTATTTCTATTTTAAATGCATTTGGAGTCATTTTCTAAACTAAATAAAGTTTTATGAACATGAACCAAGTCCATATAGCAAAAGTTGATCAATCATACCTTTAATTTTTTGCGTTACTGATTTTTCTGTCATTTTAACCACAGAATGAATACAAGTCCGACTACAATAACTATGTCAAAGGAACGCCTTGGGTGCCTTACGGCTCCATGGAAGTTGAGAAATCCAAGAAAGCAGGGGAGATCTTATGTGAGGTATGACACTTAATGTTTTATCTGTATAAAGAATTGATTTCTATTGTTATCAATAATGTAACTTTAATATTTCTTTCTTTCTCTTACTTAGAAAAAATACAGGCAGCATCCAGACACCGTACCTTTTACTGCTATAGATGACCACCCTCTCCAGCTGCAGGCTAAAGTCAACCAGATGATAAGAAGTGATGTAAGCAAAAACAAAAAATTAAACATGGTGCTCTGAATAAATTCTGAACCAGCACGTTTATGTGATCTGTGAATATTTTCCCCACTATAGCTGCACTATAAGAAAGGTCTGGATAAAGTCCTTCAGAAATACTCCCTGCCTCCTGATGTCCCACAGTTCCTTCAGGCCAGGTGTAATGCCTACAACATAAGCGATGTAAGTGAAAATGCCCTAATGATTTATGGTATTTGGCATGTTGTTTTTTTGCAAAGTTGATGACTCTGTATATCTATTGCATCTCTTCTTTTCAGAAATGCTATAAGCTTGAATGGCTGAAGACTATTGCAAAGGGGTATGATTTAAAGTCTGACGCCATCCCTGTAAAAGCTGCGAAGGCAGCAAGACATGCTGCTAGTGATGTAAGAGATCCTTTCATAACTCCATAAAGGAGAACAATGGGTGGGAAACTGCAGTGTGGAACAGAATATTAAATACACTGTTTGATTTACAATGTCCTTTCAGGTTCAGTATAAGAAGAAGTATATGAAGGACAGAGGCCACCACGTTGGCTTCCGTAGCCTCCAGGATGACCCCTTGCTGGTGCACTACATGGCGGTGGCTAGGATGCAGAGTGAAAAACTATACAAAAAGGATTATCACAAGGCCAAGCTGAAGTACCATACACCTGTGGACATGTTGAGTGTAGCGCATGCCAAACATGCCTCAAAGGTTCAGACTTATGCAGGGTACAAGCAGCATCTCCATCATTACACCCTGCTGCCTGATGCCATGAACCTGGAGTTAGCTCGCTCCATGAACATCAGCTCCAGTGATGTAAGAAACATTTCATAATCTTAAGCTCTATGTGTGACTCTCTTATCTAGATTTACAAAAATCAATAGCATCATACTTTTTCCTTAACACTGATCATACAGACCATATACAGTACAGTTCAAAAGTTTGGGGTTAGTAAGTAAGAAAATTAAGAAAGAAAGAAATTAGTATTTTTATTCAGCAAGGAGACATTATATTGATCAAAAGAGAAAGTAAAGACGTGTTATAATGTTACAAAAGCTGAATTCAGCTTTTCCATCACAGGAATAAATTGTGCTTTTGTTTATTTTCAAATCTAGATCAGAAAATAATAATAATAATATCATAGTATAAATGATGTGAGAAACTAAGCATGTTAAAGTTTATATTTCTGTGAATGTTTTAAGTAATATGTGCTGTTTAATTCCAATAGGTCCAATATAAACAGGATTATGAGAACTATGTAAAAGGCACTGGCTGGATCCCCATTGGATCTCTGGATGTTGAAAAAGCAAAGGTTGCTGGTGCAGCTCTCAATGAGAAGAAGTACAGGCAGCACCCAGACACTATCAAGTTCACCAGCGTTCTGGACACCCCAGTCATGGAACAAGCCAAACTGAACGCTAAGCAGCTAAGCGATGTGAGTGACAAATGCTGTTGTTTTGGTGTCCATGATAAGTGTCCATAATGTTAAAAATGTTTAACAATGCCATAAGGTTAAATATGTTAAATTTATGTTTTACTTTCTGAATCATGTCAATTTTGTTTTCCAGAGGCTGTACAAAGCCAGTGGTGAGAAGTTCATGCACACTTACCTTCTCCCTTCTGATACACCAGAGCTTCTGCAAGCCAAATACAACGCTGTCAATTTCAGCAAGGTAAGAATGCGGCATATTACTGTATATGACAATGAGATGGTTAACAATATCAAGTTCAACTGACAGCTTGTGTTTTCTTTTGCCTTTGCAGACCTACTATACCTACGCACACAAGCAGGATCTTCTGAAAGGACATCATATGAAGCATGATGCCATTCCTGTTGTTGCTGCAAAATCCTCTAGGGATATTGCCAGTGACGTAAGCAAGCATACATTTAGTTTATTTATATTTCATTTGTTTGAGTGCATTGTTGACTTACATGCAACTGTGTTGTGTTATTTTTTATAGTACAAGTATAAGCTTGCATATCAGAAGGCTAGAGGTCACCATGTTGGCTTCCGTAGCCTCCAGGATGACCCCTTGCTGGTGCACTACATGGAGGTGGCTAAGATGCAGAGCGAGAGGAACTACAAGAAGGATTACCACAAGGCCAAGTTGAAGTACCATACACCTGTGGACATGTTGAGTGTCGTGCAGGCCAAAAACGCCTCAAAGGTTCAGACATATGCAGGATACAAGCAGCATTTCCATCATTACACCCTGCTGCCTGATGCCATGCACATTGAACTGGCTCGCAACATGATGGAGATCCAGAGTGATGTAAGAACAACTGAATAAGGATATGATGATACTTAAACCTAGAATTAATACTGTTTTGTCAAAATGATTAACAGATCACTTTTGATCTTTTCAGAATTTGTACAAATCAGATTTCAACTGCATCTTCAAAGGAGCAGGCTGGGTTCCTATAGGTTCTATAGATGTAGAGAAGGCCAAGGCTGCCAATAAAGCCCTTGATGAGAGGTCATACAGAATTCACCCCAGTACGCTAAAATTTACCAGTCTAACAGATCAGATGAACATGGCTTTGGCCATGAGCAACACAAAACTACAAAATAAAGTAAGTGTACTTCGATAATTTATTGTAAATGATAACCAGAATGATGATCTAGAACTGACTTATGGGTTCTTGTTTGCTTTTTATTCCATTTTAGGCTGCCTACAAAGCCTCCGGAGAGAAATTTATGCACACCTACAATCTACCAGCTGATGCTCCAGAGTTCCTGCAGGCCAAATATAATGCCCAGACTGTGAGTGAGGTGAGTACAATAGTATATAAAATTTAATTAAAAAAAGAGAAACACTTTTCAATAGGGTTCTATGTGTTCACAGTAGTTCATTGTTAGTTCAGGTTAACTATTGCATTAACCGGTTTCAGCATATGCAGTCTAATTGTGTTACTACTAAAGTGTCTTGCAGGTTTTGTTTTTTTTCCTCATGTCATGTCATTTCTTTTTATTTATTTTTTTATTGTTTTTTTATACTATGATTTGATCAGTTAATTGCATTTTATTTATAAAACTGTGTTTAATATTGTTGTTATTTTTTATTGTCAATGAAAGACTAAAAATAATGTAGATGTTAAAAAACTTTTTTTATAGTCACGCTACAAGGCACAGTGGCTTGTGGACATTGCCAAAGGCTATGACATGAAAGCTGATGCTATTCCCATTGTTGCTGCTAAACAAGGAAGACACATTGCCAGCAATGTAAGTGCAAAATGTATCTTGCAATAAAATGCTGAAGGACTTATTCAGCAATACCGAAAAAGAAAAAAATGTACAATTTGCAATTACATGATGAATGTTTTGGACTGATTAGCATCCACTGTTCTTTGATCACAGTATCAATACAAAAAAGCATATGAGAAAGCAAAAGGCCACCATGTTGGCTTCCGTAGCCTCCAGGATGACCCCTTGCTGGTGCACTACATGGAGGTGGCTAAGATGCAGAGCGAGAAGAACTACAAAAAAGATTACCACAAGGCTAAGCTGAAGTACCATACACCTGTGGACATGTTGAGTGTTGTGCAGGCCAAAATCGCCTCAAAGGTTCAGACTTATGCAGGATACAAGCAGCATTTCCATCATTACAACCTGCTGCCCGATGCAATGAACCTGGCGTTAGCTCGCTCCATGAACATCAGTTCCAGTGATGTGAGTCCATTTTATTTTAGATCCACACATCCCATATGGAGGGGGGTACCATGGGATTAACAACGATTTCAACATTATGTTTGTTGTCTCCCAGTTTGAGTACAAGAGTGAGTACAACACCACCATGAAGGGTCTGGGTTGGGTGCCCATTGGTTCACTGGCAGTAGAGACCGCAAAGGTTGGGGGAAAGATCCTGAGTGATTACAACTATCGCACTCACCCCTCTAACTACAAGTTCCACAAACTCATGGATTCTATGGACCTCGCATTGGCTACCGCCAATAATAAGATCATGGACAAGGCAAGTCTGGATTCAGTTTATTTTCATTGGTTTTACTGGTGTAAAATTAATGGTCAATTTATGAAAATGGAAATGCTTTTGGTTGCAGAAGTCCTACCATGCTGCCTGGGAAAAGGACAAGCTCAAGATTCATGTGATGCCTGACAGTCCTGAAATTGTCCTGGCCAAGGCCAATGCACTGAACATGAGTCAGGTAAGACTGACTAATGCATTTATTCAAAAGATTACCATTATTAACCAAAGCAAAAAAAAATAAAAAATGTCCAGTGCAGTATATTCCATTGCCTTTGCTATGTATTTTCAGAAGCTCTACAAAGCTGGCCTTGAGGAAATGAATAAGAAGGGCTATGACCTCAAACCAGACGCAATTTCAATTGTGGCTGCCAAAGCCGGCAGGAATATTGCTAGCAATGTAAATGTCCTATCATCCTATCTATTGTTGTCTTAGTACTTTCTATTAAATGTCTGCAAAAATATTCATGTGTTGGCATGATGCTGTGATCTTTTCTGATAAATCCATGTTTCTGTCATGACAGTACAAGTATAAACTTGCATATGAGAAAGCGAAAGGCCACCATGTTGGCTTCCGTAGCCTCCAGGATGACCCCTTGCTGGTGCACTACATGGAGGTGGCTAAGATGCAGAGCGAAAGGAACTACAAGAAGGATTACCACAAGGCCAAGCTGAAGTACCATACACCTGTGGACATGTTGAGTGTTGTGCAGGCCAAAAACGCCTCAAAGGTTCAGACATATGCAGGATACAAGCAGCATTTCCATCATTATAACCTGCTGCCTGATGCCATGAACCTGGCTTTAGCTCGCTCCATGAACATCAGTTCCAGTGATGTAAGTCCATCTTATTTTATATCCACACATCCCATATGGAGGGGGGTACCATGGGATTAACAAAGGATTCAACATTATGTTTGTTGTCTCCCAGTTTGAGTACAAAAGTGAGTACAACGCCACCATGAAGGGTCTGGGTTGGGTGCCCATTGGTTCACTGGCAGTAGAGACCGCAAAGGTTGGGGGAAAGATCCTGAGTGATTACAACTATCGCACTCACCCCTCTAACTACAAGTTCCACAAACTCATGGATTCTATGGACCTCGCATTGGCTACCGCCAATAATAAGATCATGGACAAGGTAGATTACAATTTTTATGAACTAATATAGTAATGATCCATCATTTCTGAGATTTATGTGCATCTAATCTAATTGATGGAATTTTTAATAGATTATTTGGCTGGTCTGATCAATAAATAATATTTTGAATATGTTTTGTTATAGCAAGCATACACAGATACTTGGAACAAGGACAAGATAAAGGTCCATGTCATGCCTGACAGTCCTGAAATTCTTCTTGCAAAGGCTAATGCAATCAACATCAGTGAGGTAGGTGTACTCTATGTATTTGCAGAATCTTCACCGTTTTTACAAGCATATTTTAACAAGAAGTACTTATTGAGTAACATACATTTGAGACAAAACATTCCCAGCTTTTTCACCACCAATGAGCATGGTTCTCAGAGCAGAATCAGAACTTGTTGCATGTGTCTGAACAACACACAGTAGAGGTGTTTCCTTTCTGAATGAATCAGCTGAGTGAATGTATCAGTGATTTATAAACGCACTCACATTTCGCCACCTATGATGTAACAGTGTAACTTTTGGAAAGAGTCACTGAAAAATCCCGTTCCCTGTAGCCATTTTATAACAGCAATAATAACATGTGTAACTTGTGCTGGAAACATGTTTTGACTACAGAAAGCCTACAAAGCAGGACTGGAAGCCCTAAAGAAGAAAGGTTATGACCTCAAGGCAGATGCTGTATCAGTGGTTGCAGCTAGGACCTCCACAAACATTGCCAGTGATGTGAGTTACTCAGATAATAAAAATGTTTCTGTCACTAGTGTTATCCAAATGTTACCCTTTCTGACCTCTACAAATACCTCTCATTATAGTACAAGTACAAAAAGGCGTACAATAAAGCAAGAGGACATCATGTTGGCTTCCGTAGCCTCCAGGATGACCCCTTGCTGGTGCACTACATGGAGGTGGCTAAGATGCAGAGCGAGAGGAACTACAAGAAGGATTACCACAAGATCAAGCTGAAGTACCACTCCCCTGTGGACATGTTGAGTTTTGTGCAGGCCAAAAACGCCTCAAAGGTTCAGACATATGCAGGATACAAGCAGCATTTCCATCATTACACCCTGCTGCCCGATGCCATGAACCTGGCATTAGCTCGCTCCATGAACATCAGCTCCAGTGATGTAAGTCCATCCTCTTTTAGGTCCACACATCCTGTATGGAGGGGGTAGCTCATAACCTGTGGGACTGAAGTATTGAAGTAGGATTTAACAGTATAATTGTTGTCTCCCAGGTTGAGTACAAGAGTGAGTACAACGCCACCATGAAGGGTATGGGTTGGGTGCCCATTGGTTCACTGGCAGTAGAGACCGCAAAGGTTGGGGGAAAGATCCTGAGTGATTACAACTATCGCACTCACCCCTCTAACTACAAGTTCCACAAACTCATGGATTCTATGGACCTCGCATTGGCTACCGCCAATAATAAGATCATGGACAAGGCAAGTCTGGATTCAGTTTATTTTCATTGGTTTTACTGGTGTAAAATTAATGGTCAATTTATGAAAATGGAAATGCTTTTGGTTGCAGAAGTCCTACCATGCTGCCTGGGAAAAGGACAAGCTCAAGATTCATGTGATGCCTGACAGTCCTGAAATTGTCCTGGCCAAGGCCAATGCACTGAACATGAGTCAGGTAAGACTGACTAATGCATTTATTCAAAAGATTACCATTATTAACCAAAGCAAAAAAAAATAAAAAATGTCCAGTGCAGTATATTCCATTGCCTTTGCTATGTATTTTCAGAAGCTCTACAAAGCTGGCCTTGAGGAAATGAATAAGAAGGGCTATGACCTCAAACCAGACGCAATTTCAATTGTGGCTGCCAAAGCCGGCAGGAATATTGCTAGCAATGTAAATGTCCTATCATCCTATCTATTGTTGTCTTAGTACTTTCTATTAAATGTCTGCAAAAATATTCATGTGTTGGCATGATGCTGTGATCTTTTCTGATAAATCCATGTTTCTGTCATGACAGTACAAGTATAAACTTGCATATGAGAAAGCGAAAGGCCACCATGTTGGCTTCCGTAGCCTCCAGGATGACCCCTTGCTGGTGCACTACATGGAGGTGGCTAAGATGCAGAGCGAAAGGAACTACAAGAAGGATTACCACAAGGCCAAGCTGAAGTACCATACACCTGTGGACATGTTGAGTGTTGTGCAGGCCAAAAACGCCTCAAAGGTTCAGACATATGCAGGATACAAGCAGCATTTCCATCATTATAACCTGCTGCCTGATGCCATGAACCTGGCTTTAGCTCGCTCCATGAACATCAGTTCCAGTGATGTAAGTCCATCTTATTTTATATCCACACATCCCATATGGAGGGGGGTACCATGGGATTAACAA